ATTCCTGCTCTAACAAAAAAGTGTTATATCACTGCCTGCTTTGGCAAATGTATTACAAACAGAGGATTGAGACTACTATTTCAGAGTGAGAAAAGATTAAGTAGAACAAATCACTGAATATAAAGCATTTGTGTAATTAAGATGCAGTATGCAACTACTTCTACTTTGCCAAGAAATCTATTGCAGAAAAAAATGTGTAACGGTATAATCTCAGTGTCTTTTTAAAAATATACCGAGGTCCTAGAAGAGCATTCCACCTTTCAAAGGCTTCTGTAATAGTTCCAGCTTGTGTCACACTTTTAATGAAAATGGAACAAATAGGCCAAAAGGTTTCCATAGATGGAAAATATACTCATCTACAAGCAGCTATCCCATTCTACACCCCCCCAAAAAAAAAAAAAAGGTGTGGTATTTATTATTTTTAACTCTTCAAAACATAAAACCCACTTTGGAACCATGATGCTCATACAGATGCAATTATGCCCCACCCTAAGCAATCAAAACACAACTGAAGTCAGTCTTACAGACAGCAGTGTGAGAGATCAGCCTTGAAGACTGATCCTAAACCGAGTTTGCTGGGTCATAACACTACTGACTGGCTTTCTTGAAGCACCTGGAAAATGGGTCTGACAGTCAGAGTAAAAAAAAAAAAAAAAAATCTCCCAGTAAGTACCTGTAGAATGGTCATCTCTGCTTTCTCATATCGTTATTGTATTGGTTTTGGCACTGAGCTGTGATAAGTATGGGAGTGACTACGTACCCCCTTCACTGCTTCCTTTTGATGCAGTCCTTTTGAACAAAAATAAGCCTTACTCTATATGGTTACATTAGACACTCCTTTATTTAATTTCCATCAAAAATATGAGTTCGATCCCTCAGCTTCCTCCTCTGAAGCATGTACAAAACCAGAAGTTTACAGGACTAAATCTTTGAGGAACCCATCTCCAGGCTGATAACCTGAACCTTCTTTCTGAAGGTAGTTCTTCTCCATTGCCCAGTTTCATTTTGTAAACCATTCTTCCAGTCACTCTTTAAAATACAGTCTAACAGACAGGCTCTAGTGGAAATACACACGGCAAGCTTCACGGACTCGGGTTACCCACCATCTGAAAAGCTCATTTAGTAAAATGCAGAACTGTTACTCAGAACGGAAAACCTCAGGCCAAGGCTACTTCTCTTCACAACTGCCAAAAGCAAAGAGCATGCACTGCAGAAATGCAGGAGTAAACTCAGGTCAGTATCAACAATTAACATATCATTTAAACAGTTTTTAGAAGTTAGCTTAGAACACCTACACAGCACAAATTATGTATGCTTACCCCACCCTCTAAAAACAGAAAATGGTTTCTCAAAGGAAAACATTTTCACTAAACAAGCCCTAATATTTGCAACTATGTATTTATAGAGAAACAATACCAGTTATTTTAACACCTTACTTGCAATAACTCATAACACCCACGTATTTTATTCTTTTTGCAGTGTGTACTACCTGTTACATGAAGACAAGTACAGCGGCAAACTGAAGATGTTTAATCAAAACAAGAAATAGGATGAAATACAAGCCTCAAGTAACATTATCTTCCATACCCAGTCTTGAAACAGTTCTTCAGTCTTTTCCAGTGAAGCTCTAATGGCAGGTGTACGTTGCACCAAGTGCTACAATTATTAACTAATATTTTAATCTTAACATAAATATCTTAGTAAAGTTCACTTGCACTTTAAAATACAAAAATGCCTACTGTTTCCTACAGAACGTTTCATTCTTACAGTTAGTTAAGGAATCTGCTGCCATCTAGTGAGCGTGTATATTATACTTTTAATTAAAAGCATTCCACAATGTCAAATTTTTAAAAAATACATAGAATTACATTTACTTCCAGTCAACTCCTTATTAACCAGAGTAACAGGGCGCCGAGACAGGCTACAGCAAAAAGCCTAGGCAGACCGCAGGCTGAGGACAATTGCAGACAGGCGACTGCGCAGGGCCAGGCTGATCTGAACCCGGCCTCCTCTTGTCCAGGCGAACAGCCTCTGCTCTCAGCCTCTCCTCCTGCAGAGGATGCCCCAACTTTCGCAACCTTCTGCTGCAGAACCTTACAACTTCCGTTTAGGGCCAGATGCACGAAATGTTACTAAAGAATAAACACCCCACCATTTTACAGTCACTCCTTTTTCTACAAAGTTTCCAGCTTTTTGTAAGGTAGGAATAGTCTTTGCAAAAAGTTACCTTGTTTTCAATAAACTGTAAACACCACAAACACATCATCACCACCAGCAACACCAGCCTACCCGCAAGCCTCAGCTGCCATAACATCTCAAAGCCTCCTCTGGTTGCGTTTGTGAAAAAAAAAAAACCAACAGCAAACACCCTCCCCCAAAATACTTCAACTGGTTTCCAGACATCAGCAGCATCATACGGGTACCTATAGGCAACTATGGATTGAAAGGACAGCAGAGCAGTGCAGGCAAACGACTGCTACAAGAACAAAGGCTTAGCAGCTCCTGCAGCTCAAAATTATGACAGATTCAAAAGGACTTCCGGGCTTCCTAAGCCATCAACCTACAGTAACCGATGAGGAAGCAAATGAGAATAGAAGCAATGAACAATGTGGTGAGACAAGTCTGGTCAGTTGAAATTACACCTCTCCAGGACTTGTGGCCTTTAAAAAGCAAACAGCTCAAGTACTTGCAAAGGGTGCTCCAAACTACAGAATCTCAGTGAAAAATGTTGTGCCTTATCTACACACCTTTGTCAGCGACATGGATGA